CCTAATCTTAACCAGTCATATTAAAAATGCGCATCGTTGCGGTAGATATTCAAGGCTTCCAGTTAGAAGATGGATTTGTCGTTAAAGAAATGGCTGTCTACAATGGATGTCAAATTAGTCATTACGTTTTGAAACCGCCGCGTGAATATTGCACGTTGACCGGTGCAGAAAAAAGAACGGTACGCTGGCTCGAACAATATCATCACGGTCTCAAATACAGTTCTGGTTTTGTTCAATATTCCGACATTGATACGTTGATCGGACTACTGATAGAAAATGCTGACTTGATATACGTGAGAGGAAGATCAAAAATGGAATTTTTAATGTCGAAAATGGATCAGGAGGATGTCGCATGCAGAGTCATTAACGTGGAGAAATTCGATGATGATAATTGGTTGAATCCGCCGAAATTTCAACCGGATCACGCCCATTGCATGTTTCACTCCGGAGGAAGACTGCGCATGTGCGCGTTGAGAAATTCTGCCCTTTTATATAATTGGTTGTATTCAAGGATCCCTGTATGAAATAAAACTTTCTTTATTTAAATAAGACTTTTTATTTCAATCCAAAAAAATTAATAATACATTTACACGTAAAAATAAAGCACGCTAATGCTATGATATGAATACAAACTGCGAAACTGTAATCTATTGAAGTATAATTCTTTTTTCGTTCCATTTCTCGAGTAATATTCTGCGTCATCTCACGCAAAATAGCGACTAAAAGCGTTTGGTTCATCACTTCTCTTTGTTATTTTACCTATAAAAGATTAGCTAGGAACCGAATACATTTTAGTATTTTACTGACCTTGAACGAGATGAGAGTCTTGTTGCTATGCTACGCTGTCTTTACTACCTGTTCGGACGTGTCGACGATAGTCGCCGCGCTGCCCGAGGAAGGTGTGATTGAATATTTACAAAAATTCGGATTCCTTTCACCTAACGACAACGAATCTTTAACGCAGATCAATGCGTCGAGTTTGCAACGTGCCCTAATGGATTTTCAGGATTTCTATAATTTACCGGTGGATGGTACTCTTAATAACGAAACCGTCGAACTAATAAATAAACCCCGATGTGGTGTAATAGAAAATGCCTTCACGACTGTTTCGCGATGGCAGAAAACGGATTTAAATTGGTATATTCAAGTACCGCCCAGTCACTATCAAGAGTTAAAAGTGCTGGCAACCGAGGTTTTTAAAATATGGAGTGATGAATCAAATTTAAATTTTTTCTTAAATTACTCAGAGCCGGATATAATGATTTTGATGTCTGACAAATATACTACCCACAGACAAAGCATAAGATGTAAAGGGAACGAATCCTGTCCTTTTGCTTTTGACGGAAGGGGTAACATATTAGGACATGCATTTTTTCCAAATCAACAACAAGAGTGCGTGGAAGTTCATTTGGATAAATCCGAAGATTGGTACTACGGTTTAGAAGTGCCTGCGCCCGGAGGAAAAACGAGCTTGTTTACTGTGTTGTTCCACGAAATTGGACATACGTTGGGTTTGGCGCACAGTAACGATCGCAATGCCATTATGTACCCTTGGTATAGCTTAAATTCTAAGACATTGTCATACGACGATGTTGCAGGTCTTCAACGTTTATATGGTAAAAAAACCACAACCACCGTCCGCGTAACAACTCCGACCACAACAACATCAACTACCACTACTACCACAACTACGAAACCTCCGATAGGGAAAAACGAAACAAAAGTACCAGATTTGTGTCACGTAAATCCATCCATATTTTTGGTTACGTCTAACCATCATATGTATCTATTTTACGACAAATGGGTTTGGATAATAAGATTAGGTGATAAAGTCTACATGGAACCTAAAATGATATCAGATTATGTCCCTATTTACGCTCCTATTTCGCATATCTACCAGAGACCCAACGGACAACTTTTGGTAGTCACCGGTGATTCGTTTTATTTACTTCACTTCCCGAGTTTCACGGTAGTGGGCGACCGACAAAGCGTCCAGCGACTGGGTGTGCCTGCGGGTAAAACAGTGAACGCTATTTTTAATACGTATGGCGGTCGAACGTATATATTTTACGGTAAACGCTACTATGCAGAAATAGACGAGTGTTCTTTGAGTGCGAGTGAACACGGTTTTACTACGGAACTGTTTCCGGGTCTGCCCGACGATTTGTCGGGCGCGTTTCGATACACCAACGGACATTTGTATTTTTTCAAAGAGAAAACGTATTACGAATACAACGAATTTTTGAATAAATTAACGAGAGTCGGTGAAATAGACTTGAGTCTTGTCGCAATTAATTGTCCCACAGAGAGTGTCTTTAAACAAATTAGGGATTTGTTAAGAAAGTTATCGATCTTTCACAACAATGAATAAGAAGTTAGTTTTCTTCGACGATTTTAGAAGCTTGGATACCGATCAACTTGAATTGATTCCTGTGCAACATTTCTTGGAGCATGTGAGACCGCACGATTTGTTAAATATGTGGCATAAGTTACCAGTACGACATCGCAACAATTTTGAATTGCAAACTCATTTGCCCTGCTTTGTTCACTATAACAGACCGGACAGCAAAATGCATATCGACGGCCCGGCACCTCCCCAGAATAAATGTCATTATTGTTTGAGTGTTATAAAAGCAGTTACCGAGATCTAGGATAGATTCATTCGGGCTAGAAACATGGTTTTGTTAAGTGCTCACTTTGTTTTGTTGTCGGCTGTGGTACAAAACGTTTTCTATATACATAAACCTAAGGATGTGATTGAAGCGTTCGTTTGTTTCAAAAATCATAATAATCGGTGCATTTGGCCCGATACGTGGACGCGTATGCAACTCGCTCAGGTCAACGGAATCGACAAGCTACAAACTTTTAGCGTGACATTGTCGAATAACACTACCGCAGATAAGCCGTATTTAAATTACAAGGTACGTTTCGTTTTCGCCAACCGGAGCTACGAAGACCACGGCGAATGGCAAACGATCGCTATCAAGAATTCCAATAACACCAGCGGCGGCGTTAACGACATTTGCGGTAACGAATACAACATCTCGGCAGGTCGAAAAACTATTTTAATCCCGCTATATGTAACTACGTGCGCTTGTTTGCTTCTTTTGGCAAAATGCTTATTCAAATTGACTAAATGTAAATATCTCTCTTAATTACACCGATAGTGGGGGGTTGTTGATATATAAGTACATTTGAATTTGATACCGAAGTCAGTCTGTTTGTCACAATGTGTAACAAAGTGGTCACTATCGATGAAAACACGATTTTCGAAATAAAGAATTCAGGTGTCCGTTTCATCTTCAAGAACAAGCACATAGATTTTCAAGTCCAGGATTTTTGGGATTTTTTGTTCTTTCTGGAGGACGAGGTGGGAGAAATCATGTTCTGGAACGACATAACAGTCTACATCGGGAGCAGTATCGAGGTGACCTATTCGAACGAAGAAGAGAGCTGTGAGTTGATACTGAAACAGGATCATGGCGACGAAATTATCCTCGACCGCGATGAAGTAGAAAATCTCATGGACCAGAAACACCGCTTGTACGAAGCATTACGTTGTCTACATATGAGCTAATAAATATTTACTATTGTATCTATAGTTTTTCTTTTATTAAACCGTGATTATTGAGACACTCTGTATAAGTCACTCGACTTGTTTACCGACGACCCGATCCACCGCGTCACCGCGCCACACCGTCTCCGCGCCGCACCGTCACCGCCCTCTACCGGGGGGGCCTACGACGGTCGGAGCGCGCGACATCTAGCAGCGACGGGCGGAACCGGGGCAAAACAGGACGCTACACAAGCTGGCGACATCTAGCAGCGACGGGCGGAACCGGGGCAAAACAGGACGCTACACAAGCTGGGTGGGGGGCGGAGCGCACTCTGGTAGACAGGGGGGACACTAGGACGCCACGCGCGGGGGGCCCCCGCTGCGGGGGGGTTAGGAAATTGAGGTTATGTACGGTTTCTGTTGCTTATATCGGCACTATACATCTACTAAGGTCAAAATTTTCAATATCAGTATCATCAGCAATCTATTGAATTTTTTGGTTATTAATTTTGGATCTTCGTATTTTTTTGTTTAATCGTTATAAATTTTGCTTTGTCGGTATTTATATTGAGTTTACAATTACAAATTACAAATCCAACTTAAGTGAATTTTTTGGTTATACATTACAAATTTTGTTTTATTGATATTTATTAGGAGTTTATTATAATATAGCCAACTTAAGTAGAGCTGAAGCTCTTGAATTTTGTTGTTTTTTGTTTGTATGTTTACATTTTGGATCTGCTTACTTTTTTTTCATCCTGGTCAATCGATGTAAAACCACACATATGTTGTTAGAGTTTAATTGGCTGAGAAAAAATATTAAGGAGTGTGATAATTGAAATGTTTTTAAAAGATTAATTAAAACTTATATATTGTCTGAAATTTTATTCCGTTTTTTCTTTTATAATTGTTCTGCTGTTACATATTTTTGTTCTGTGTACCTTTGTACTTGTATACTTATTTAAATTTTGCTACTGGATCGTATATTTAAAATGCAAATACGATTGTTTTCTGTTATAGCTTTATGCTAAATAAAAGTATTTATTTATTTAAAAATCGATAGAAATCCTGGAAAAGTCAAAAATAATTTTCTTAATAGGGATTGTTTGTTATTTTGTAGGACTAGTACTTTATGTAGATAGACAGTACATAGACCAGTTCAGTGATGAAAGAAAAAAGCTATTTTAAATATAAGTCGGTATAAAGTCTCTCACTTTGTATGTTAAATAGTAAAATACAAAAAGGAAGTTATAAGTTGTCAACCTACAAATCATAACCCATAATCAGTGAAAACACGGTACGTATTTGCTTTTGCTCATTGCTCAAAAAATGTGTTTGGTATGACCCATGGCCATCTAGTGGTAAAATATAAGTTTAAACAAATAAATCTGCTTTCTCTAGAATACATACAACTAATGAACAAAATGTATACAGTGGTACTTACTAGATCTTTGATTCTTAATAAAGTATAGTTGCAGTCGTTCCTTAAATGTATTTTCATTGACGTAATATTCTACTCGGACCCTGAAACAAAACAACACGAGTTGATTTATTGCCGCTTTTTAAAAGCTCGCACTAAGTTAATTATGACACGAACATTTTCCAAGAAAGCAAACTTTTCCTTAGAAGAAAACGAGGAAAAGTTTTCCGTTTGACACTTTTCCATTTGTATCGGTCTCCAATATGGAGGGGTATGCGATAAAATAACATTTTATGGGTAAAATGACAGAAGAGGAAACAAGAAATGAGCTCACTCAAAGGTTTCCCTTATTTTGTACAGGCTGTCCCGAAATGATGATCATTTAAGGCCGTCAAAAGCAAAGGGCTAAAATTAATCAAAAACTCGAAAGCTGACCATTTAAGACGATTAAATTAATGGACATCAATTTTTGAAAATAACGAAAAACAACTTGAAACTTTTAACCGTAATTGTCCATTAACTAAAGTAAAAAATACGCTTAAATAAATTAAACGTTCGTTAAAATTGAAAAGAAATTGAAAATTGCAATTTCCTTGGAATTGGTTCACTTTATTGCAAGTTTTTGAAATTTGCAAAGTACATTTTCTTACGTTAAATAAGAAAAAGAAGAAAAAAGATCAAAATCTCCAGTATCAGACCTATAAAACCAACAACTAAATAACAGGATCGGTTTATAAACAACACAATTGTAACTAAATTGCAGTTTTTGGAGGATTTTTGGTAGATTTCAGGGTAAATCTTTATTATATTCTCTTAAAATCCCAAAGTAAATACTCTAAAGTATATTTACTGTATTATATATACAAAAATTTTAAATACAAAAGTTATGGATGAGACTAAAAGAAACAATTTAAAATAATTTCTAAATATACAGGGAGATTCTTAAACATGAGGGAAATATATTTTTCAACTAAACTCCTTATACATTATGACAAAACGAAAAATATTAATTTTGGTTCAAAAATTAAATAAAACAGCTTGTGTATTACATTCTCATTAATTACTCCTAATAATACTCTTTCAATTTTACTCAGCATTCCATATATCTAAATTTAGTATTTTTTGAGCTATACACATTTTTACGTACAAAACTTTTCGAAAATTTTGAAAATTTGTCAAAAAAAAAATTTGACACACCTTAATTTCGTCATTTTTCATAAAAAAAAAACTATATGAACTTAAATGTTATTTACGCTAGCAAAATCATTGTTTGGATTTTTTGCTCATCATTTGCTGATAACCTTGATATGAAATTTCGTTAACAAGCGAAAGAAATGTTTATTTTCCCAAATATTCTATTCCTATTAAAAATAAAATTTTCAGGCTGTCCTAGTACACATAAAAATCGTCCAACGGATATTTTCGCGCGAATTTCCCGTGGAAAAAAATATCCCGAACATTCCCGGGAATATTACTAAAATTCTGTTTGGATTAACTCTAAAAGCTTTTATTAGGCTCGCAAATTGTTCGCGAAAGTTTTCATCCGAGTTTCGGCGGGCATTTTTGACGTATAAAAAAAATATACGTATCAGCATCGTGGAAATGAAAATGGCAGTTGAGATTTGAAATTTGGATTCTTTCTTCTCAATTTTTTCTTTTATAAAAATGATACAATTTGATCAATTTAAGCAACAATAAAAAAATATTGTTAACTACATATAACATGATATTTTCTTAATAATCAATAAAATATATTTTATCTGTGATTTTTTATGTTTTGTATTGTTTGTTCTTACTGGTGATTATAATGAAATTTTTGTATTAATTAGTTGATTATGAAGATATTTCATCACATTTTTTATATTGTGTAATTTGTCATTCAGAAAGAACCTACAATATATCAGTCAAATTACATTTCCATTTCTAAAATTCATCTATAAATTTTTAATTTTTTTTGTCGCAATAAGCGATACAATCTAATTACGTCATATATTCTTATTTCTATAATCAAACTAAAAACAAATTGACACTTGCATTTCAATTTTAACGAATTTTTTGAATTTGGATTTATATGACTCGCGCGCCATCTACCTTGAGATTTATGAAACGTCTAGTGAATTGTTTTGAAAGGACGTCATCTGAGTACTGCTTAACATGGAGTTTATGATATAGTGCAAAATTCTTTATAAAAACTAAACAAACGACTTGACAATATGAACAGACACAAAATTAAATATCTCTATAAAGTGATATACAAAGTGCCTCAAAAGTGCCGTAAAAGGCAAAGCGCGTTTTTCTCCAATCTCAAACCATTTCGGGAGATTCAAACGAATTGCTTAACTATCAATTAGATTTAAATACCTCCCCTTTACTGAACTTAAATTCTCACAACAACATTAATTAAGGTTGTATTGTCATTTCTCGGTATATATAGTAGCAGGTAGTTTGTAAATATTACATTTGATAAAGACACGGTGTTGTCGAACAAATTGTCATGTAAAAATATATAATTTCGTGAAAATCTGAATTTTTAGTTCTTATTTATTGTGTTAAATGGATTTTCATCAAGAAAAAGCCAACTCAGTTCAATCGTCTTCAGCAACTGCTGATGAGATTATTTGTCTTAAGGCTCTTTCGTGTTCTTTGAGCGTAGTTGATATTTTTCTTCCGGTCTCTCCAATGTATTCTTTGCCGCATATGCATGGAACGCTGTAAACTCCTGGCATCTCAAACGGAATTTTGTCTTTGATGGATCGAAGATGTTGAGAGATTTTTGGACAAGTGGTAAATCTGGTTATATACGTTATATTTCTTTATATTTATTAGAACTTTTGATATGTGGCCAGAGATGTTTTGAATATAAGGAAGGACAACAGTGGCAAGTGTGGGATTGCTTTCTATTTCGTTGCTATTGGAAGGTTTAATATTTTTAATGTGGAAATTATGAGAGAGATGAGCAGAGGTAAGGTGTTTTATTTCTGGGTTCAGTGACTCGGTATCGGTCTGTGTGCGTAGGTTTTCTTTAAACACAACGACCCAATGTTAGGTCTGGTTTTCTATTGATAAAAAAGATTGTTTTTCCATTTGTTTAGTAACAATAATTCAAAAAATATGAAAAATACCATACTAGAAAATCTTTGGTGGCCTGTATTACTATTATTATTACTACAGAAACGTTGGCGTAGGAAGACCGGGAAAGGCTTGCTATTCTCATAGTAGTTAATATTCGGCGATGAAAAATGGCGGGATGCAACATTTTTATAGAGACTCGACTGATTTCAAAGTTGATTTTTGTTAAAGTGTCGCTTGCATTCAATCAATCAGATCCGATCCGCAAAGTAAATACTTTCTTAATTACGATAAAAGACTTAGTGCGCCATAAAACCGATAGGAAATTTACCGGCAAAAAGAGAATTAAATTTCCCTTTGAAAAGGTAAAAGAATTTCCATTTTTCCTGAGAGTTAATAACAGTACGTCAAGTCGGTTTTTCCTCCAGACTTTTCTTTATAACACACTTCCGATAAACTTCCGAATCAATCGCGACTGGAAAGTTTCAGTTAATTTCCGAGTTTCTCGTTAAGCCCGTAGAATACCTGCGAGATATTTAACTCGACGTGTCAAATGCAGTTGCAAATTTCCATAATGTTCAACATAAGCGAAATAACGAATTTGCGCGGGTCGAATTTCTTAATTAAACCGTTTGAAGTCCGCTATAACCCGTGTTCATTGGTTGCTATAACAATAACGAAACAACAACAAAAAAAAACAACAACAAACACGATAAAACCGGATCAATTTCTCAAAAAAAAAAACACTAAATGGAATTCTGTTTTGCTTTTACTTGACGAAAATGCATTTAACAAAATAAATAAGAACTAAAAATTCAGATTTTCACGAAATTATATATTATGACATCACAATTGTTTCGACAACACCGTGTCTTTATCAAATGTAATGATTACAAACTACCCTCTACTATACATAAAGAAAAATGACAATAAAACCTTAATTAATGTTGTTACGAAAATTTAAGTTTAATAATGCAGAGTTATCTGAATCTAATTGATAGTTAATCAATACATTTGAACGTCTTATTTTGTTAATCTCCATAGCTTCCAATAAATTTAATTTTTTACTTTTCGTAGCTGTATGTAAAATATCAAAATTGTCGTCAAAAATTTGTTTAAGTGTGTAGCATAATTAGAATCTAGACTATTGTTTTTAAACGCTCTTTTATGTTCGTTAATGCATTTCTTGAAGGATCTATCTGTTTGTCCAATATAAATTTTAGGAGAAGATCCACATTTCAACCGGTAGGCACCTGATTTTTGGGATTTTGGACATTTCGTTTTGTTTTTTAAATATTTTCCTATTGTGTTGTTAATTCTGCAAACTATTTTTAAACCACACTTTGACAAATATTTTGAAACTTTTCCACTGGATTATCCTATATAGCAATTGTTTTAAATTTCCCGCGTTCTTTATGTTATGTTATGGGTTAATACTCTTGTCTGGATTCTTTTAATTTATAATTCTATTGATAATGGACGGATTGTAGCCGTTGTTCAGTGCAATTTCTTTAATGACATTCAGTTCTTTGTGGCGTATTAAGAAGACAGTGTATAAAAGAGTGAAATTCAGCCATTTTGTGTGTATAAGGGTGATTTGAGCTGTTATGTATGACTGAGTCCGTGTGTGAATGTTTATGGTAAATGGAAAAAAATAATTTCGTTTTCGTAATAGTTAAGTCTAAAAAATTAATAGTTATCCTGATTCTCGACACACTTCGTGGTCGAGGTATTTTCGGAGTGCGAACATTGAAGATGCCAAGTGAGATCTTGGCGAAACGTTTGCAGGATTCCAGTCGGAGTTCAACAAACGAACGGATGATATCCCGGAATATAATAGAATAGAAGAATCACATTAATTGTTTTCGAGACAAAGAATATGCATATATTTGTGATAGTAACACTTTACTGCTGAGTGAACAATAAATTCTCACTTTGATTAATTACAATTTACGATGCCGAGGAAAAGATGACCTGACTTCGGAAATAATTATAAATAGCCCGTATTTCAGAAAACTCTGTTTTGTAAGTGAGC